TTTTTTACTAGTGGGTGCAGGACACTATAGTTAATTTATGTAAAGTGAGGGTAGCAAAATAAACTAAACTGTGATATATTATACCCAAAAAATTCTTCATACAATGGACTACCAGTAAAATTTATACAAATTCGGGACTAAAAATTATTCAGACCGAGTCTGGGAAAAAATTGAAGTTCAGGTTTGCATGAACCTGGTTGACAGCATGCCCAGGAGACTACAGGCTGTCATTAAGGCTAAGGGTCACCCGACAAAGTATTCATAGTTGTGTAAATATTGACAGCTGTATGAATAATTTTTGGTTGATTGTAATCTATTACATACCTTTCTATCAAAGTTATCTGACATTATCAAGCTGAATTTGTTCTGACAGTTTAACTCTTGAGTTCTTGTCATATTTTATTACCATTTTCTAAACTATAGTGAATAAACTGTGATAATGTGAGAAATGTTGAAGGTGTCTGAATAAATGTTGGTTTGACTGTATCTATTTGATAAATGAAGTTAACCAACTAACATTATACATACATGACAGGATGATGACAGGATTTTCATTTTTGGTTGAACCACCCTATAAGCGATTGGGTACGATGTTGTTATTTTAGCCACAGTACCTCTCTCTTGGAGATATCCATAAGCACGGCAAAGCTGGTCATGTGATTGCACTGGCAGCTGATGTGGGTGTGGTTTCTGGAGATGAGGTCACAACCTTTAGAAGACCAGGCACCTGCGCCACCAACACTGACATACCAAGACATATCATACTGGCATTAATCATCTACATGCCAACTACTTACTGAAATAAACTGATTTAGGAGATTTTATTTTCATTCAAGTGATATCTCGATTATAATTAAAAATGTGAGCCTATGAATTTGTATGAAGGGGTTGTGACTCACGTGATAGAGTGGTTCCAGAACACACATACTGGTTTAGTTCTCTCCTCTGTCTCCAGAAGGTTGTAGTCCAGTGTGATTGGTCGCTCCAGAGGAATGTGTAATGGCTCGCCTTCACTGTACACAGTCGTGCTCACGATGGGAGTGTTAATGGCCGGACGGTTCGGCAGCCTGTGGAAAAAACGGGCAGCAATGACATGCTAAATGGATCTTCTTAGCATGACAACAGTGTTCTGTGTTTGACTGTGGAATGCCACCGAGACTAAATATTTGGACAAGCGCTTTATAGTTGGACAAGTACTAAAAAGTGACGTTCTGTACCTGAGACTGCGGCGATCGGGGTCATAGTGCTCTGGTAGAAGCTGGCCCAGAGATTTATAGATGATGACTGCAGCCACAGGAAATGGTGCCAGACTCTCAGCATGCCTTTTCCTCTTGTTTGTAGCTGGATCGTGCTCTTCATCCAAGCTGCTCTGAGATTCTGGATCATCTGTGGGAGAAACTACCAGAGAGAGAGAGTTCATGTGAAAATTAGTTGAAGAGAGTTAATGTTAAAAATGCAGTATTTATTAACACTCCAATATTTCATATGGTGACTAAATATTATTACAAAACTACTGAAAAAAAAAAAAGAAAAAAAAAATTGTGGCCAGCAGCCCATGAGTTTTTGTTAGGGATTTTTCCTAGTTAGTCACTGTGCAATGTTTTGTTATACTTTTGCATTCCCTGAGAAACTTTCCATTTCCTCACAAAATTTAGTGACGGAAATAATTTGAGGTGGTAGAATTTTCTCAGGAGAACGCAACACATTTGCGAGAGAATGCAAAAGCTTTGCAAGCAAATGCAAAAGCACTGAAATATATTATTTCCCAATCACCAAGTCCCCTCGGGGGGCTCAATAGAATTATTCATATATATCTATTTTAATGTTTGTTTTTTACCTTTATGCTCTGAAGATCTGAAACTGAATTCTGGGAAAATAACAGATGACTTAAGGTCTTTGGGACACTCCTGGTCAGTCGTTTGAAAACGAGGGATTTTTGCCTCATCTGGATAAATGGCGTCTAGATAATCCACTGCAAAAACTGACAAGTCAAAGAAAGATTAAGGTTAAAAAGAACTGTATAGTGGTCAAAACAATGTATGTTTTAATAATAAATAAATGGTTCAATAAATGGTTGAATCCACATTAGTAGCTACATTAGTGATTTTAGAAGTTACTCACCCATATTCTCGGTTACAATGATGAAGGGTTTCAGGTAGGTCTTCCTCATGTTCTGGGCCACAGTGTTGGCGTACTCCTCAAAGTTTTTCAACAGATGTGCCGTACCTCCTTCTGTTCTCTGTATCTGATCCCAGTGCTCTTTATTACTGGCGTCCAGGATTGCGCTGCCAGCCTTCACTATGTTCTGCAAAATTCAAACACATTCGGTATTTCAGGGTAACATTCTGGACATTTAAGAGACATTAGAAGTCTGAGTCTGGGCCAAGATGAGACATAATGAATGTGGTCTTAAAATGCATCCTTATCCTAAAACCATGTATCATGATAAGTACGTTCATGTTGCCAGATGTGCTTTGAATGTGGGCGTTTTCATTCTCATGACATCAGTCACTATATGCTGTGTTATTTACACTTATCCACTAAACCTCAAAGCTAAAAGCTCACAATTTTGGGCTGCCAGAGCTGAAGTACAGAAGAGACCAATAGAAAATTGCCTATAACATCCCATTGTTGGTATAGCTGTAAAGCATGGTAAAAGTGCTTGCATGTGCAAAAGTTGACGTCATAATGCACAGGGATTTGCAATGTGGTTGCTAAGGTGTTCTGAGTTGTTTTTAACTTATCAACTATGCAGTTGAAAGGTTGTTTTGGATGGCTGCTATGTAAGTGCAAACTAGGTTACATTTACTGAAGAAAATGTGCCTGGCAAGCACCAGTTACAAGTCAAAAGAGCCCAACCCCAAGTCTTTGTAATATTTTGGATATTGTGATGTCTACAATGGGCACTGCCAGTTTAGACAGCTCTTTTAATTATAATAGAACCTTATTTTATCACGTCACAACCATGCCACATTTGTAGACACGGTGTTAGAAAAATGATGTCTCCTCAACAAGTTGGATAATTCCAGGTTTAATTCGTGAAGCAAAAATGGTGTGGCAGAGTTCAGCTTAATAGCTTGTTTAGTGGTTTGTTCAGATATCTAATCCTACTGTATGTATTAGCAACAGTAACAGTGATGCTAGTCTGAACAATAACCACTAATAACTTTTAAGTATTCAAACTGAAGCAGATTATATTGACAGTAGAGATGGAGGAGTAAAACCAACCTCATTGAATTTGGCGTCGCGCATGGCGGCCAGGTTAAAGCCCTGCTGCTGGCTCTCATAGTGCAGGATCCAGGAAATAAGCTGGTAGGTTGTCTTAACATCGTTTCCATAAAAGGACTTGGTCTGGTCAGTGGCGTTCTGTAACATTCGAGCGATGTCCTTTGATTTCTGCCCATCCATTGTGGATTCATTACGATGCAACTCCTCATTCTGGTCGAAAAGAGGTGGGATATGAACAAGAGGAAGGGGTAAAGAGAGGTTACTTGAGATGTTTTTTGTGATGACCACAACAATATGAACTTTTCATGATTTAAACATCTAGATCTACCAGTTTCTTGAGGTGGGAGAATGTAATGGTGGTACAGTTGAAAAGTTCAGGGGGCAGCCAGCCTTTCTCATCGCTGCAGTGTCTGACAGCAGTGCCTAAAGTCAGTTAGAAAACATTATAATTAATAATTTAATAAATAAATATTAAATAAATAAATACACACACACACACACACACACACACACACACACACACACACATATATATACACAGTATATACAATTATTTAAAAAAATGATTTCACTTCAAGTACAGTTTCAGAAGTTTCTCAAACTGAAACCTCACTCCAACAAGCACTTGGGTAAATGTGTCTTTATACAAGTGCTGCCAAGCCGTGTCCCACAATACTTTAGTGTTTGCCAACCAGCTCCCTCTAGAGACGAGGCCTCATTAACATTCAGTTACCCAACCAATGAAAAGATCTAACTGCAGAGATCTGCCAATGAAAATTCTTTGTTAACAGGGCTGGGTAACGTCAATGGGGGCGGCAGTGCCAAGTGACAGAAAGCCACTGAAAACAAAGGCATTTGCACAAGTTTAAGCCCATTATTTCACTTAAACGTCATACACTAAAATATAAATCATTGTAGCTAGCCACACCAAAATATATAACTCATTTTCTTTTATTTTGTACCTAATAATTTATGGTTACACTACTTTGCATTTTTCAGAATATTTAATATTTAAAATAAAGTTAGTCTGAAAAAAAATCTACTTTGTTATTGACTCAAACCTAAATTCATCTGTCACAAAACAGACACTTATTTTGTATTGTCTCAATAACAAGCCCAGTATTACTCACCAATAGATCCCTTGGGACAATTCATGGCAACTGGGCGTCCAAAATTGGTCCTGGGCCACCAGATTCCAGCGTCAAAGGCTTTTGGGCAGCCCTCATACACAACTGAACGGTAAAGACAAGAAACATAATGTTACCCAATTTGTACTTCATTAGTGTAGATTGACAATGACACATATGTCATTTAAACTCAAAGCAGGTGGGAGGAAATCAGTATTTACCCTCACAACCCGTGCTGGTCACTTCAGAGAAGGGGTTGTCACAACGATTACACTGTCGCCCAATCACACCCGCCTTGCAGGGGCACTGACCCGTCTCTGGGTCACATGTGCGAGAATTTGCGCCCAAATGGAAGCAGTCACAGGGGAAACAGCTGTCGCTATCTTTCGGTCGATAGTAGTTGTCCTGTGTAAAATAGGTGTACGGTTAGTCTCTAAAACATCCATCAACATTTGTGGACAACAAATCTAGACCAGACTGAAAGGCTTGGGTAAATAATGTAAAATTTAATCTTCATACCTTGCAGTGGCATTCTCCAGTAGTCTTATTGCAATCGGGGTTGAAGCCTTTGCTGACATCACAGTTGCAAGGGCCACACATGGGGCTGCCCCACCAACCCCGAGGACATGGTTTTTCCACCCTGTGGAAAAAAAAACAAAACAATATTTTAAATTATATTATTAGCACAACAAATTGGGCAGAAGCTTAAACTGGGTGAAGTAATTTTAGAAATTAGAAATTGTTGTAATTTTGTTTTTTTTTTGTATGTAATTACTGTCATTTTTATTACAAAATCCTAAACCCTACAATGCATTTCTGAAACAAACAACTATTTTCATAATTTATTAATTTCTTGGCTAACACTTTAGTACAGGGACCAATTCTCACTGTAAACTAGTTGCTTATTAGTATGCCTATTAATAGCATATTATTGGCTGTTTATTAGTACTTATAAAGCACATATTCTGCATGACCATATTCTACATCCCTAATCCAACCCAATAGCTAAACTTAACAACTACCGTACTAACTAATTATAAGCAGCAAATTAAGACTTTATTGAGGCAGAAGTCGCAGTTAATGGTTTGTTAATAGCAAGATTTGAACCTTAAAATAAAATGTGACCATTTCTTGATTATGTACATGTAATATACAGTGGTGTGAAAAAGTGTTGGCCCCCTTCCTGTTTTTTTTTTTTTTTTGTATATTTGTCACTTAAAAGATTCAGATCATCAAACTAATTTTAATATTACACAAGGAAGGGGGCCAACACTTTTTCACACCACTGTAAATAATGTAACACTAAATGTAAGGTATAAATGTGCTTGGGTGAATAAATGTCTGTAAGAACATCGGATGGACTGTATTTGTGTCATTTTGTTAGGTTAATGCTTCAGCTACAGATGATGTGTACTGTGCATATTATTATGGTAATAGTAATACATTTCAGTTTGATTGTTATTGCATCTTTATTTATTTTTCTTCATGAAAAATTTTTGGTACCGTTTTGGGTCACACATGTGACATTGCATCAACAATATGGAGCAACAAGTTTGCAGTTTGTTAACCAAGCATTTGCATAAAGTATGTTTTTGGCCTTTAAAAAGTACTACCAAAGTTCAAATTAGATAAAAAAAAAAAAATTTTTTTTTTTCTCAATGATGCCCAGTAAAAGGCCAGCTGGAGGTCAAACACAAGTCCATTTATTTCAGAACACCGAGGCTAAGGAAAATATTCCTTCTCTGCAATCCTCTCCTTAAAATGTGCAGACAGCAGGGCCGCATGGTGCTTATTAACTCAACATCAGGTGCTAGCAGCGTGTTTGGGTCTTAATCTAATAGAGGACAGTCATGTCAGCAGAATAAGTAAAGAAACAGAGGAAAAGACGTCTCATGTGTAAGTGATGAGACAAGCATGACATTCATCACTGATCAGAGGGTTTAGCAGATTAAATATGAAAATAAAAGGGAAGGTAATAATTATGTGGAGCTTGTGTGGACTTGTGAAAGGGTGTGCATTGTGTTGTTTTCCCCTGCTTTGTGGAGAAGAGCCAACTCAGTGACAGACACACCCACACACACAAACCCAAACCACTGGAATGAAGATGACTTCCATAATACAAATAATTTACACTGACTGATACACTGCACAACTGCAATGCGAAATTTCAGACATTGTCAGAAATGTGAACATTTCGCACTAAGTGATTTTGCTCTTTTTTGCTTTTTTCAAATCTCAGAAATCAACACGTAATACTTCAGAAATCTTTTAATTACAATGTAAAAATCCCATTGCAGTGCTTCAATTCCATTCTATACATCATGTTATTAAGTAAGTTATAATGTAAAGTCAGCCGGTCATTATCACAATGTAAACCCTGATAGGGTTGTCAGGACACTGACACAGTATAAATCTGCCCCACTTTATCCTCATACATACGCTATACTTGCGTAGTGCAATATACACTGTATAGCATATCTGAACTGCTTGATTGCTTGTATTGTTGTGCAATATTAACTATATTATTGCCCAGTTCTAATCTGGTAAATGTGACTGTAAGGCACGAAGATATTCTGTAACTCTGGTTAACAATATATTGTGAAAAGTGGTATAAAAATGAATTTGACTCGACTAACTAAAAAGACCATGTTTAAAAAGGTCAGTTTAATTAGCAATAACCTATGGAAGCTTGTTTCCACCATGAAAAAAAAAAAAAACTTAAAAGATAATTGCGACTTTATCTCACAATTCTGACTTTTTTCCTAAGAATTGCGAGATATGAACTAAATTGCAAGTTATAAAGTCAGAATTGCAGGATATATACGCAATTGTGAGAAGTAAATTCAGAATTTCGAGATATAAACTCGCATCTGACTTTTTTCTCGCTATTGCAAGATTATATCTCGCACTTTTGACAATTTTTTTGCGCAATTGCAAGTCTATATCCTGCAGTTACGACTTCTGAGATATAAACTCGCAATTGTGAGTTATGAAGTCCAAATCTGAGGAAAAAAAGTCAACTCACAATTCATATTTTCAATACAGTTGTGAGTTTATATCAATTACTATTCTAACTTAAAGATGCAGTGTGTAAATTTTAGCGGCATCTAGCGGTGAGGTTGCGAATTGCAACCAACGGCTCAGTCCCCCGCTCACCCCTCCCTGTAGAGAAGCTACAGTGGCCGATACAGGACTAAGATGTAAAATATTAGCAGTATGGCTATGCTGTTCCACCAGCTTTACCAAAACCAGCACTAACTAGAATAAACAAGTCTGGTCTTATCTGGTATTTTATCCGCTATGCGACTTACTTGTTCTCACAGTACTGCCCATAGTAGTCCTGACTGCACTCGCATGTGTAACCGTGAGAGGAGCTCGGCTTACGGACACACGTGGACAAATGCTCACAGGGGTTCAGATGACATGCATCAACACAGTCTTTGCCAAAGAAACCTGTGAGTGACAGAAAGAGAAAAAGAATGAAAGAAAGAAAAAAGAGAGAATTCGATGAATGCCTTCTGAAATCAGATGCGTCTGTATAGATGCAGTGAATGTGATGCAGGTGTCAGTACCAGGGTCACAGACGCAGGTGTGTGCATTCCAGTCATCTGTGCACTGGCTGTTGTCTGGGCAGATGTTGGAGTCGCAGGGGTTGGCCATATCACAGCCTTCTTCCACGTGGATCTTTAATGCCTGCTGCATGTTGATGTTAGCCGTGTTGGTGGCAGTCTCCCCCATCCTGACACCCTGTGACACATGTTTGCATAAAGCCAGTCACTTTTCAATTGCTCATGAGATTTTTCCCCCAAATAAATGCTGTTCTTTTAAACTTTCTGTTCATCAAAGAATCCTAAAAGAAGTTTCATGGTTTCTATAAAAATATGTAACCAGCACAACATAATAAGATAATAAGAACTAACTCAAATCAGCATATTAGAATGATTTCTAAATGATCATGTGACACTGAAGACTGGAGTAATGGATGCTGAAAATTCGGTTTTGCCATCACAGGAATAAATTATTTTTATTTTTTATTTTAAAATTGTAATAAAACTTAAAAAAAATTGTAATAATATTTCACAATATTATTGTATTTACTTTTTTTTATTTAAAAATGCAGGCCTGGTGAGCATACGAGATATTCTTCAAATTACAAACATATATATTCATTAACTAAGCTGTATGGAAATTGTTTGGGAATTTTAGATAATTTCCCTCATGTTAACTTGGCATTTAATTATAGGTGATTTTCAAATATGCTGTCAGATTTTCTTCAGTAGGTAGAGCTGACAGTTCATGAATTCATTCTTAATCCAAGTTCAGTTTTGCACTTGTCAGTATTTATATTACATGTCTAACAACATTATACACACCTTATGTATCAAAGCCAAACTTGACACATTGATTACTTGAACACAGATACATGTTTATAATGAATCCATTAATAAATACAATAAATATATTGATAAGAACTATTATGCTATAATATTAGTAATATAAACAGAAATTACTCAGTTCAATATTATGTACAAAACAATTTCTTACATTTTTTTTTTTTAGTCCTGTATACCTTACATATGTATGTATTACACATATATGATTCACAACAGCTACTGTATCATGCAAGTTGAAAGATTCAAAGGCTTTCTCTTGGCCTCACCTGCACGCATCCCTTAAAACCCTGCTTGACACTGTTACTCTGTCCCAGAAGTCCACCAATGAACAGACTCCTCAGCTTGAGTCCAGGCAGCTCGTTTCCGATCTCTGCTGACTTCTGTAAAGCATGGAAGACTTCAGTAAAGAGGTTTTAGCAAAGGACTGTTCTGTTTTGTTAAGACCACAGAACTGACCATGAACATGTCGTAGTCCAGGTACACATTCGCCATGTACTTTGTGTCCTTCCCATCTTTGCTGCTCCTCAGCTCCACAAGGAGGTGATGCCATTCCCCGTCATTCACTCGGACTTCTGGGAAATCCAGCGTGGCCACTTTCTGCTCTCCCAGCAGTACTTGAAACCGCACATACTTGTCCCTTATCTTAGAAAAAGTCAGGAAATGTTTTAAAATGACAGTCATACCTGATTAGGAAATGGTATAAGAATGAATTTACATCAAATAAGAATGACCTGTATGACATTCGACACTCACCAGAAGGTTAACTTGAGATGTGTCGCCAGCGTTGACTTGCATTAGGGTTGTGGATCCAATGCTTTGTCTGGTACGAAACATTAGGCTGATGTACCAGGGCACAGCGATGGTGATATCAGGGTCGTTCCATGACACAATGGCACGACCATCAAAGTGCTGCGGCGAAGGCATGACTGCAAGAAAGTAAGAAACAGTTTATGACTGACTGCATAAAAAATAGAGGCTTTTTCCAGGAAAATGGAGACTTTTGGCTCTGAGCCACATATTAGCCACATATTTAAAGGAGTGGAAAAGCCTTAAACAAACCAAGACTTATCAGCGATGTACTCCCGTCTACTGTTTGATTTGTGTGCAGGCAAATCAAATAGCAGAAGTGTGATGGCATGGAAATGCTACAGTAGAGTCACAAAGTCAAGTGAGGACTCGAGAACCCTTCAGCTATGAGCCCTGATCACTGGCAGAAAGAGTGTGAAGAATCTCTACATTAGCACAGTCCACAGTTCCTGCTGCAGCCTTGAAATCACTCTGTTATAGAAGACATTTCCCTGAGAGAGAAGCAAAGAATTAAAACCGAGACTTGCTAAGTCCTAAAAAAGTAAGCCTCAGTAATATTACATTCACGCTTATGCTTTTGACATATGCTTTACTGTGATTAACATTGAAGTCAAGGCCTCATTTTTATCACTTCACACACATTCACTGGGAATCAAACCCATGGCCTTTATTTTATTTTTTTTTTCAAGTACTAAGCTCTGGAGTTTGAGCTATATACATAAATTCTAAATTTCATGCATACATACTTTGGGCTTAATCCATGATTCTTGAAAAACTGTAATATTTCTGAAATTTGAGGATGCATAATGAACCAATGTATCACAAATATTTCCATACGACACTAACATGACTGAAATTTAAGAGGTCGCCAAGGAACTGCCAGCCATTGCAGGCAGAATTACGTGTTTTACTAGAGATGGACATTCTATCTGTGCTATGGCAGAAGCGTAGAGGTGATAATATCTAAATTACGTTCTGCTCGCTCTGGAAACAAGCCATTAGCTCTAAAACAGTGCTATCCTGTAACGAAAACAAACCGCAAAATTGGGGCTACTTCAGGCAATCATCTAATCAGCATCAAAAATAACACTCTTTCCTGGCAGGCACGCTTCCCTGCCAAAACATAAAATTGGATAAGGCTGTTTCAGTCAACACGGTTGTTTGTTAGATGATGACATGACTTAAACATCCAGAATTTATAATGGAGTGCTGCCCCAACAGGCCTGTGGAGGGACCTGAACAAGACCAGCGTGATTCCCTCTTGTTTGGGTGTCCCAAGCCTTACAGAACGTCCAACCGCAAAAAAACAGCCAGTGGCAATGTCAAGTACACTATCATTTGGGCTGTTCAAACACATGCAAACACACCCACTTTCAAACACATCTGTCAATTAATCACAGTGGAGTTGTAAAGTAGTGTGTAAAGTCCTGTTGAGTATGTATCAGAACTGACTGCCAAAGATGGCAAATGTGGCGAATTTATTGGCCTGTAAACTGTGACAAGCATGTTTTTCTAGGCAGCAAAAGCACTGACTTCACAAATCCACCAAAAAATGAGGTAAGAACAGAAGGTCCTGTACTTCCTGTAGTTGTGAGGAAATGTGGGAACAGTCATTTTAATCTAGACTGACAGTTGCTCCAAAACTGACAATTAAACTCTGTTGCAAAAACCCAATGAGCTGTCTACTTAAAAATTGTTATGTTCTAAGATTCCTCATTTTGAGCCAAATCTAAGACAGCTTTGCTGCATCTTTAACAGAGATGGCAATCCCAGAATGCATTGCAACAAGCATGACAGAAGAGTTGAGGGAAAACTATTAATGTATGTCATTTAGGGCTATCACAATGTTAGCTTTTAGATAATAGTGGCTACTGATAGAACTCACAATAATGAAATTATCACAATATCTAAATTTTCAGCATCAGTCATATTCACCTTTATCTTTTTTTGTTTTCTTTTTTTCTGGCCATTCAGTCACACTCCAAAAAGTGTAGAAAGATTAAGAGAGAGTTTAGCGCTGGATTATTTATGATATTATCATATGCGTAATATTTACATGAAATCAATATTTACATTTTTTTCATTTCACTGTAATCGGTATATTGCTACACCTCAACTATCACTCAATATCTATTAAAACTAGACTATTTCACCCAGTGTGTGTGTTATGTGTGTTTATTACATAATCAAACTGTTACCTTAGCATCATGCTAGTGTAACTCAAGTTGAGAAAAAATACTGATTAGAAATATACTTATATTTCATCAATTAGTGAGAAGTATCGATAAAAATTGTTACATTTAATAAAAATTGACTATTTTACCCAATATTTGTGTTTTGTCTTTTCTGCATTTATTACAGTATGAAGGCTTTAGCTTAGCAACAAGCTAACATCAAACTTTTTGTGAGAATGCAATTTGTGTGGGCTGTTGAATTGCTAAAAATATTTCAAAGTGGTCACTTATGATGTCTTTTTTAGAATGTTGCCTCAGCACATTATTATCTGAGGATTTATCTTTCATATAAATCTGAACCTAATTCCATCTGGTTTGCCTTTTGGTTTGACCCAAAGGACCACAACAACAGGTTGTAAAACCAAAGCATTGATTTTGTTGGCACTGAGTGACTACATTATCGTGCAGAGCAGAGGCATTATGGGAAATACACTGGCAACACTACTCGAATATTGCTCAGAGTATGTGGAGTGTATATCCGCAAGGTTGATTTGGGGCACTAAAGGAGAGTGGGGCAGATCCTGACTGATGCTTATCCGCGAAGACATTTCCCTTTCAGGAAACACCATCACATTAACGCCACTGCCTGCTTCCTTTAAGTCCATGAGCAATCAACACCTAGTTCAAAATAACAAACGCATACACGGATGCTCGACGCATGCATGCACATGCATTCATGTCCACTGGCACGCTACCAAATAGTCCCACCTACCCTGATCGCAGTTCTTGCCACCCCGGCCTTCAGGACAGTCACAAAAGTAGGTGTTCCACTTATTTTCACACTGAGCGCCGTGCTGACACAAACCCTCATAGCAGAAGCTCTTTTTCGCTGGACAGCCTGACAGTACAATAAATATATTGGTTTTGAGTTACAACAATCTAAAAACAAGTTCACAATATGATTTTGAATTGTTATGGTTTATGTCACACCTTCAGTGGTGCCGTTGTTGGCGATGTAACTGGCCATGTCGATGGATCTACTGTCAATCATCAGGTTCCTCATGCAACCCACAAAGTCCCGGTTCCGTATGGGGAAATCCTCTGGAAGGTTGGGCACCCCGCCAAGCAGAAGAGGCCCAGTGAGATCCAAAGACCTGAAGATGGAAAAAAAAACTTTAAAATGTGCCACCAAACTCTCCAACAAGTTAATGGCATCAAAATGGCATCACAATTTAGCGAGCTGTCCTGCGTTATACTATCTAAAGCCTAAAGTATACTTAGGATTTTATGCATATGCTAGTATATGTGTAGATTTCGTGTGCATCAGTACAATATGCACGATTTTTCACGTGCCTTTAATTTTTTACTAATTAGTTGGTCCACAAGATGGCAAGGTGGCCCAAGAACAACAAAAACAAACTACTGGAAACAGCAACAACAACATACCTCTGAATTGGTGAGCACTTGTGTGAGGGGGTTAAGAAATACCCACAACTCTAATTTACAAAGACTTTAAAGACATTTTTATTTTTCATAACTTCTGGAGAGAAATAGTGCAGATGCGTGACAAAGATGAACCTTTTAGTGCAAATTTGTTGAGTGCCTGTGTTCCTAGATGTTATCAAATGCAGTATATTTTGAAAAGCTATGCATTCAGTTGTATGAATACATTAAAGCCCAAATTATACTTCAGTTTTGATGCAAACTAGGGTCTGCATGCAGTTTACTTATGCAGTTCACCAATGTTACATGCAAACTTATTGTAAAGTGTCACCGTTTTTTTGTTTTTGAAATAAGTCTCTTATGCTCACCAAGGCTGCATTTATTTGATTAAAAATACAGTAAAACTGTAATACTGTGAAACATTATTACAATGTAAAATAGCCGTTTTCTATTTTAATATATTTTAATATGTAGTTTTAAAAAGCTGTTTCACATGATCCTTCAAAAATCATTCTAATATGCTGATTTGGTGCTCAAGAAGCATTATTATTACCATCACAAATGCAAACAGTTGCTGCTTAATATTTTTTCTTTTTTTTTCAGGATTCTTTGATGCATAACAAGTTTAAAAGACCAGATTTTTTGTAAACATCTTTTCTCTCATTCTCTTTTTTTATCAATGTAATGTGTCCTTGCTGAAAGTATTTCTTTTAAATTAAAAAAAATAATAAAAAATCTTACTGACCCCAAACGTTTGAATGGTAGTATACAATTTCAACAAAATTTGATCAAATTCCCCAACAACATGAGACCATCAGTCACACTTTATTTTAAGGTCTAATTCTCACTATTAACAAGCCAATAACTACGACTTTTGCCTCAATAAACTCCTAATTTGCTGCTTATCAATACTTAGTAAGGTAGTTGTTAAATTTAGGTATTGGGTAGGATTAGGGATGTAGAATATGCTCATGCAGAATATGTGCTTTATAAGTACTAATAAACAGCCAATATGTTATTAATAGGCATGCTAATAAGAAACTACTTAACAGTGAAAATTGGTCCCTATACTAAAGTGTACCAGACCATCTGATCCCCCTTAATATCACAGCTTTATAAAAAGCTTTGTAAGATAGAAGTAAGACAGGTGAAAGGGGCATGACCTTCCTTAACCAATCTGTCAATCAGAGTGTCCATGACAACAGAGCCATAGGGAGTGGAATGTTGCCATGCAGTATAAAACAGGTCAGTGCTTATCAGACTGGAGCAATGGGTTAAAACTTCACATTTATTTGTTGTTCTTTCTTTGAAGTGTTTTAATGCACAGCCCTGTTCCAGCATGCAACAACACCTGATGCTGCAATTGCCACCTAAAGTATGAGAAGATCCTTCACAAATGAAAGATTTTTGGACGTGTGTCCTGAAGGTTTCTGAATGGGCGTGAGAGAGTTAACAAAAGTGTAATTATGAATAATTACCAAAGGCTAAATATCGAGAGAATGAGTTATTGTTTGATTTACACAGAGAGAGGGATAAACTCACTTCTTCTGTCCCGTCTGGGTGCCCTGGGCAGCGCAGGAATAGTTGCTGATCTGACTGCTGAAACGCACGGCCATGGCAATGTCACAGTCGTCCACCGCGACTACTGCCACCTTCTCACCCGACGGTCCTTGAGGCAAACCCAAGTGACTTATCTTAGGCTGAAAAAAGAAGAAATAGAAAAGATTAGTTACAGATTGAAAATAAACAGGATGAGCACAGATTCACAAAAACACATTTTGAAACTAGACTTTTTATACTTTTTGAAAGACAATGAGAGTGTTGTTTGTTCCTGCAAAACTAGCAATACTTTCTGTTATGTACTTTCTACTACCCTTGAGAAAAAAGTGTGCGTAATTGTGTTCAATGTACATTTTCATGGCTGTTTTTTAACATACTTAAGCAGACTTTTAAAATGTGCACTTTGTAATAGTTTTACTATATTTTAAATCATTGTTTAATAATCTTTTATCATGCTTTAAAGGTGCAGTAGGAGATCTTGGAAAATGCTAACTTTAGCCTGATAGCACTGAAAGCGAACGTCCCACCCTCCCTGCAAATCACCGTCCAAAGCCACGCCCCCTGAACGCATGAACGCGAACAGACCAGACGACCAGGGACAACATTATTACAATACGTCATGTGTCATTCACCGGTGAGAAAGCTTTATAGTACAGTTAGTAAAAGTACTACAATACCAGGAAGGAAGATCGGGTTGTTGATGTTTGCCATTCTCGCTCTGTCTGCACAGCGTGCGTGAACGCGCTGATGACGTATCCTGTCTGCGCGAACCGTGTGCACAGAGGTATGCAAATACATATGTTGATAGGCAGGTAGGAAAGCCAATCAAAACTCTCGGAACGAGCATTTTGATTGGACAAGCATTTCTTGGTTCTACACCTTCCACAGAATATATAAATACAGACAAATACATTTAGACCACTTAACTTAATGACGTACAACTACAAGATGTACTAGTGGGTCAAGCTAATTATATTTAATATAAATTTAAAATAAAATAAATTTTCATTTTATTGCAAATAACATGCATTTAAGTGTCTGAAAATAATACATTCTTATAAAGCATATTATTAACATGATAAGTACTCTTTTCCCCCACAAGGATACACAAGTAATATGCAACGAGGTTACACAGCAAATAATCCTATATATCACAAGCTGTGTTGCAGATTCCTGCCTTTTTCTTTTTATTCAAGTGTTGTAATGTGAAAAAGACAACAGATGCCAGGCTCTTGTAATATGCTCATCTCATGTAATCATTAATATCTGTAATATCTGTAAATTTCAGAAATGCTTCAGTTAACCCCTTTCATGTAATCTTTAAGTGATGAATTTCATTTTGCATAGCGACTGAATCAAATCTTAGACCTATTTTTGTCCCAGCAAAGTTTATGGACTGAAATACTTGTCCTAAATCTTATTTCAGAAGTCTATTTCATGAGTATGTTCCTAATGTAAAGATAATTCCGAATGTTTACAGAATCCTTTGCATACTTGTGTGAAGACACGCGCTCACAGATCAAAGCTGTTTACAGGAGATATATCTATGTGCCATGTGTTGGCTCTAAACACCTAGCTCAGGGCAGATGTGGGCCATCTGTCTGACTGTGTTATGCACGGCAAGTAAGTGACAGTCAGAAAGTAAAGTTGTGTTGTGTGTAAGCATTCACTCCCAGCATGGCACACTTTCCAATGCACAGCAGCTTTATCTAAACTATCACTGCCACTCCTACAGAAATAACTCTTTCCTACTGCAAACGCACTCACACTTTCCATTAGGTGACGTCTAAACATTGTGCAATTTTAGTCTATTTTTCTTTTTGCCTTCCTGTTGCTATATATATGGATATTTATCTTATTGTTCGCTTCACATACTGACACACAAAGTCCCAGGGGTTGATTTTTATTAATAGTAACAGATTTCAACTTTTTATTTATTTGATCACATTACAATCATTTAGAAGCTTTTTTACTATGCCATTATTTATTTTTTCAACTTTTCAAATGCCTATTATTTATAGATTTTACGGTTACCCATGTCCTAGACCAAAACTTCCAATCTTAAACTAGGCTCCATAAAATGTTACCTAGGAAATTATACTTAGATTACGAAGATTAAAATTAGACTATTCATGAAAAGACAACAAAAATTATATTTGACCTTGACAATTGTAAAATACTACTGCTACTACTACTACTACTACTACTAATAATAATGATAATAAGCGTGTGACAAATATGTCTTAATGTTTATATTTTAAAAACACGATGACCAAAATAGCCCAAATTTCTTTCTCTTTCCAACTTTTCTTTCTGTCTGTCTGTCAATCTGTCTAGCCATAGACATATTTCATTAGATTCTCATGGAGATGTGAAGGGTGAATAGAATGGGAATTCTTAAAGGGTGTGGTCTCAGACACAAACCCCATCAGGGGACCAGCACAGACCAAAGCAGCTTCAAAGATCTTTTAAGGGAAACACACTGTTTAGGTGAATTTTGCTGCATTCATTTGGCCTGTTTCCAGCAGGATATGAGGGTGTGAGGTATTATTCAGATGGATATCTCTGCTCATGCTGGGTGCTTTCAACACATATCTGGCTCATAATCTAGAACCACTTGTATATACTCACTTTGTATACTTGTATGTCATGGTTTCTTTTTTTTTTTTTTACTTATTTACTTATTTTTCAAGTATTACATCTAAATCTTATATTTTAGATTTGTATTTTAATTTGTTTTTTTATATATATATTTACATCGTAATTAGAGAATTATGTTAACATTTAACATGTAGAAATGTAAAAATGTAGAAATGTAATATTTTTATATGTAGGATTTTAAGTTTAAAGTTTGTTTAGTTTTAATTAAACGTACACATTTATATTTAGATCCAACATTTAAGTTTTAATTCTAAGTCTTAAGGTGTAATTAAGTCTTTCTATTTAAATATTTAAAAAGTTGAAATTTATGTCTGTGGAAAATATCTCTATTCCGACACTCATGCCACATATTCAACTTGGGAACTGACTTTATTTAATGGGTCTCATTCATTGTACAGAACAAAAAAATTAAATAAATAAATTATATGTAAATTGTTAATGCATCCATTCCTATATGAACTGTGGCACTGAATTTATAACTTAAGTAAGAATGATTTTAAAATTGATTTATACACACACACAAAAAAAACAAAAAAACAACAACACTATATCACCTGACTTTGATCACAATAACTGTGTGCCTTGTACCGTACAGCACAACACAGTCAACAACAGACCAGGTCAAGTACATTCTCCCCATTGCCTTTGATTTAGTAGCTCAGCTTCATGCTGCTTGGTTTCACCAACTCATTTATCTGACCTCTTAATCAGTGGAGTAGAAGAACAACACTCCAGCTGCCAAACGCTGCAGGAAACCACTGTTTTTTAGAAAGCTGCCATCCGAAAAATCACAAAAAGCAACGATAAGACACGGTTCACGATTTGCTGAATGAGACCAAATGTATTGTATTAGCAAAGTGACCTGGAACATGACTTCAAAATGGACTCTATTTACCTACTAAATATATGTTCCTGGGTTTATTGTTCATGATTCATTAGTGCATGTTATTCAAAAAACAAGTCTTTATAATGTTTCATCCAAATATAATAAACTTGCTCTTGACTGAAACAGCTTTCAGCTTTCTTGCCCACACAGGTTATAATGCTAGCCAATAACCAAATCGCTTCTCATCGGGTTTACACTAGTGCGTTTTCGCTTTAAACCGGCATTTTAAAATGAAAACGATCCTAGTCTACGCTGGCGTTTTCACTGTGTTTCAGAAACGATCCCCGTCCACACTACACAACCGAAAACGCACGTCACATGACCATTCATGCAGGTACAACAATGAGCATGACGTTATTGTTTACACGGTCGTCAAGGATACGCAGAGCGAATGTGGGCAGCCACGCCATCGTTTTCAAAAGTCTCTGTTTTTTCTCCATTTACACTGAAACGCAACCCCGGAGTTTGCAAACTAAAACAGGGTCGGCGGCGTTTTCGAAAGTCTCCGTTTTCGAGGGTCAGAATAGTGTAAACGACAAGCGTAACCATAGGAAAAGTTATTCGTTTTTAAACGAAAACGCACTAGTGTAAACATAGCCTTAGACTTTGTTTTACTTGGTCATTTAGCTCTATTCCTATACCCTGATAGCACACGTAAATCTCGGAGACATCTATTTGATGTCTGTATTTACATCTGCAATACGTCTATAGGACGTTTCCTTTTAGATGTCTATTAGATGTCTTTAAGATGTTTATGATTTAGAATGTATGCAAAACTGACATCTGAAAGACGTTTGTCAGACGTTTGTAGACAGCAGATGCTTTCCAGATCAAGAGATCTTTAACAGACATCTTGCAGACGTACGTGTGCTATCTGGGTAGGCAACACAGTTTTCATTCTCCAATCAAATTCTGAAGGATAAAATAATTCCCACCCTATTTCTTTTTATATTTTTTTTCATTTATCTCAGAAATACACATATGTCACAATACAGACGTCAAATAGGTTGCAGAAGGCTATTCACGTTGACTTTATCACTGTATACATATCTTGCTAATGAAAAATTATTGTAGGTGTACAATAAAAATGGATATATATTGCTTATAAATATGCGCTTCCATAGCACAGAACACTTTATGGAGGTCTCTGTTTGTATCATTTAATGTCATTTTGAGTATTATGACTTTTGCATCTTGACACATCTGAGCACAGTGTAATACATGGTTGCAACTCCTGAGGAGGAAAATCTGAGAAGCAAAAGACTTCAGCAAAGTCTCCATTTGCTCTTCTTTTAACTCATTGCTGTCTAGGATAAACAACTGAGATAGATCTCACTATTGTTTCTTTCGTAAGGGTTTGTTTGAGTGTTAAACCCTCTTGCATCCGGGTGCAATTTGAATCAGATTAGCCTCGTTTGCTCTTTTCGTGGTGTAAAATGACCGACAGACCTAAACAAAGACTTCTGTGTTGAGACTAGAGCCCGACCGATTTGGGTTTTTTGGGGCCGATACCGATACCGATATTAGGGAGTAAAAAAAAGGCCGATACCCATATATCGGCCAATAATCTTTGTGTATATTATAGTACAGTAC